ACAGCCAAATTCCAACCTTTATCTACCTTTTACTGTTTGGTCAAATTAGAAACATCATAATATAAAATTAGGTTCAGATTTTAAGTATAAGTTTGGATAATCTAAATACAGCCTACTCCTAGGTGCAACAAACTTCGTCATAAATTGATATGTACACTAGCCTATCATACATTTCTCTATCGTTATAAATGTTAAAAGTACTAAGCAGTGTTCTAGTTTTCTAGTGTGGAAAATCCAACCCCCAACCCACCCCTCTTACACTAATGCACACAATGTGAAGTTATCAGTAAAAGATTAAACAAATACTATTTCAAGCAGTGCTGTCAGTCTGTGACTTAGTGAAGGTTCCAACTCAAGTTCTAATCGTTCTGATACAAGTATGAACATTATTGATGAAGGATGTGCAACCCAATTGATTTTGGGCAAAATTTTCAAGAGGGCTACTGCAAAGCTGCAACTGATAACAAATCCCTTAAATTAGCAGAAGAGATTACTGATATTGACAGCAACAATTGTGCACGTGAGAAATTGAAAGCCGAAGATGACAGGGAAATTGACAGCCGCCGGCCACCGCAAACCACAGCCGCAGGTCGCGAGACGCAATATGCGAAATACAGTAGAACTAGAGACTGCACGCTCAGAGAAAAGAAAGTAGAAGAGTACCTAAGCACAGCCATCCACAGTCCACCGCCGGCCTCGCTCACGTCGTCACTCCACGGCTTCACCGCTATCCACAGTTCCGCACGTTGGTCGGGAGAGAGGAAAACAGGAATATGAAAGGAATTTTGACTATGATTTTGAATTAGCCTTGATTTAGGGTTCAAAATATTTTGTATACATACATATATATACTGATATACATACACACATATATACATACATACATAGATACATACATACATACACACACACATATATATATATATATAGATCGGGCCCTATCGATTAATTGGGCCGTGGTATTTAGGCCCGAAGGATAGTTTTAGATACTTGTGGGTAGAAAGTGGAAACAATTAATGGGCTAGGAAATGAAATGGTTTGGGGTTGAGAAGGGTTAGTAGCCCAAGAAAGAAGTAATGGCTTAAGTTTGAGGAAGGGTATTCAAGTTACTAAGGATGAGGGTGTGGATGGACCGTAATATTTAGGCCCGAAGGGTGGTTAGATGCTTGGGGGTGAAAAGTGGAAACAATTAATGGGTTGGGGGAGGAATAATGGTTTGGGCTTGAGAATGATTAGTAGCCCAAGAAAGAAGTAATGACTTGGGTTTGGAGAAGGGTATTCTGGCTACCAAGGATGAGGGTGTGGATGGGCCGTGATATTTAGGCCCGAAGGGTGGTTAGATGATTGGGGGTGGAAAGTGGAAACAATTAATGGGTTTGGGCTTGAGAATGGTTAGTGGCCCAAAAAAGAAGTAATGGCTTGAGTTTGGAGAAGGGTATTCGGGCTACCAAGGATGAGGGTGTAGACGGGTGCGTCGGGGACTAGGCAGTTTGTGCGTGGTTGGCAAGGTACATCATAGCACGTTGCCGCCAAGCGTAGTAGTGCAGGGTTGTTCCCCAAGCAGGGCAGTTTAGTTAGGGAGTTTTGAGCCAACTTCACCAACTCCTTAGCTATCAGGTCATGTTGAAGCCCCTCTTTAATCCGCTTTATTACATCCCCTTTGGCTTGGCTCATGGCTGCAAGTTCACATTTTCAACTCAATGCATTAGCTACGATGTTTGCCTTGACAGGCTCTAACTCAATCATGTGATCCACCTCCTGTCTAAGTTCATTGGGCAACTTTTGAGGCATTATGTCCCTATTTTCCTCAAGGATCACTTGAATAGGTAGTGAAACGATTGAAGCATCCTTACCTTTGTCATTCATATGCCTCAAGGACCACTTGAATGGTCAAAATCAACCCATCCCACATCCAAAGGCATATCCCAAATTACTCTACTCTTATGCACATTTGAGAAGAAACATGATGTTGAGGGTGGCTTTCCTCACCATATGCCTATCTAGTAAGAGAAAAGAGGTTGAGGTTAGCCTGTCTCATTTTCAAAAACATGCTCAAGGGGTATTATTAAAGGTCGACCAATAGAAGAATACTAAACTCATTTCCCTTGTCTTTAACAAATAAAAGAGAAGATTTAATAGAGAGATGAGTTAGAACATTGATGAGTTCATTCACTCTAATGTCCATGATACGATGACCTTAGTGGATCAACGAAACTCAAACTTTACTGCTCCTTTTCACTGTCAAATTCTTGCAGCTTATAGAGTGAGGCCTGAAGATGGATATTAGATCTGACCCAAGCTTTTAAGCCCAACAAGCATGTCATAGTCTTAGAGAGAACCAACCCCGTGTTTGCTGTTTTATAGGGTCAACTAGGCTTGAGCTCCCTATGAGTGTGATCCACAACACCTATGCGTTTTCCCTAGCCAGTGCCGAGTATGTTTAGGTGTGTAGTCCATGTTAGCAAAGCCATTCTTGTGTTGGGACGAATTGCCGTGAGGGTAGCAATCTCATGAGTAGTTGGCAATAACGCGAGGCGTAGGGAAGAGGAGATTAGGGTCTAGCTTCCGATCAAGGTTTGGCTTGGAGAATCTATGTGGTTTTAGGGACTTTTTGCAATGAAAACAAGAAAAGGGACAGTTATAGGGGTAAGAAATTTTTGTGATAGAAGTATGAAATGAGAATATTTTTAGGAGAGGTTTAAATGTATAAGGGGATATGAGTGAAGTTATAAAAATGGAATACTATTGTGAATGTTGATGGAAGTTACAGTACAAAGATTCAATATAATTTAAAAGGAGCAACTCCAACTCATAGTGAGGAGTTCTACTAAGTCATTTTATATTTTTTTTAAAAGAAATTTAATTTTTATTTTTTATACAACAAAATAGGATAATTCCCATATAAAAAGATATATTTACAGCACTCCCCCTTAGCCATTATCTTACCATACTTATGCATCATTAAAAACCTCACTAGAAAACCCTTGTGGGAAAGTCTAGTCAAAGAAAATAGTACATGATATATGTGTAATCATGTGTTACACCAGTTTTCCTCATTAAAAACATTGGGCTAAGAAAAACTTAATGGAAAAAACTTAGTTAGGGAAAAACAAGTACAAATATAAGTTTTCAGAGCATAATCTTCAAGATTATAAGGGTATTATCGACTAACTATTCAAGTACACTAGTGGTAGTCACTCCTACTGAAGACAACAATCTTTTGAGCCTAGACATCCCAATTTTGTGAACATATTTCTCAAAGGTGGATGTAAGCAAGGACTTAATGAACAAATATGTTATATTGTCCCTAGAATGAATCTTCTCAACAAGAATTTTACTATTTTTCTTGAGTTCATGTGGGTAAAAGAACTTATGTGCAATGTGCTTTGTAAGATTCACCTTAACGTACCCATTACTCATATGTACAACACATGCCACATTATATATCCTCATATAAGATAGTGAGAGTATATTTTTGCTTGTTATACTGCACAAACTATAGATATGATGCATGTATTAGTGACCTTAGCCATACACACTCTCATGAGGCCTCATATAGAGCAATGATCTCTAAGTAATTAGATGAGGTAACAACTAGGGTCTGTCTAACGGACCTCCATAAAATAGACGTACCTCTACAAACCAGTCTGGGATTTAACATTATGGGATCAAACATATAGCCATTATCTGAATAACCCACCAATGTAATATCCTAGTTATTTCAAAATAAAGATGAAGATATTTGAGAATATGATTGCTCCATTCCAATGTTTTCTGGTTAGAGAAACACTAAACCTAGCTAACAAATTCAGTGAAAACAATAATATCAAGTCTACTGTAATTAACAAGATAGAATAGAGCTCCAATACCCCTAAAATAAAGAACTTTAGGGTCCGTTTACTAACAAAAAATTATTCTCTATTTTCTATTTTCTAATTTTTCAGTTTTCATTCTCTGTTTTCTATTTAGAAAACTTGTTTACTAACAAAAAACTGTTGTCTGTTTTCTATTTTCTATTTTCTAATTTTTCAGTTTTCACCTAAAATTAAGTTTAAGATAATATTAATATTTTTTGAGCTAATATTTAAAATATTTTTTAGATATATATATTCATTTGAATGACATGTATATGAATATATAACTTTTACTTTGAATTCTAATATATGTGAGATTTCAATATCCGATATCTGGACCGAACTTGTATTACGGTGTAACATAATTAAAAATATCCGAACTAATAATCTATTGAGTTCAATCAAAATCTAAAACATTATATAGAATTTAATTCTTAGTTTTAGAATTTAATTCTTAGTTTTGATAATGTAAATAATGTCTAACTTTAAAATGTAAGCAAATAAATTATGTTTAAACTTTAAATAAGTAAAGTAAGTAAAAAAGATAGAAGATAGATAAGTAAAATAAGATGATAATGAATGTAATAATGTGGTTATAGTGACATATAACTAAATAAATGATAGATGATTCTATTTTGCATTTAGAAAATAATTTTTAAGAGTATTCCAGTTTTCCTGAAATTTTCAGAAATTATTTTCAGTTTTCAAAATGGAAAATTGTGCTAGTAAACATGTTTTCTATTTTCTATTTTCCAGTTTCCAGAAATTTCTAGAGATTCCTAGTTAGTAAACGATTCCTTAGGTTGCCAAGACCTTGTGGTCTAATGACACCAAGATTGCACTTTCATATATGGGAGGACATGAGTTTGAGCCACTGAGGTGACTCTTTGTGCTTCACTAATTTGAGAAAAAGAGATCATCATTCAACACTGCATATCAAATAGTTATATATTGTGTGCTAAAATTTAATTAACCAAGAGAATCACCTTTTAAATCTGTAATAGCAAAGGATAAAACATTATTTTGTACTATTAATTAGTTATAACATTAGTGTTAAATAACTACTTTTTAGTTTTTGAATTAATATTAATATTGGTTTTTATTATCCAATAGTATTATTATCAACCCATCCAAATACGTTTTAAATACAATGAATTTGGCATATATGTACACTAATGGAAGGACAAAATAACATTTGTGTTGCTTCATTCCTACAAGTTTTGGCAATTCTTCTTCTTATCAACTCTTGCAATGCTGCAGAGAACCATAATCCATTAATCCCCCACAATGAGAAATGACATTAAGCAATTCAAACCCAAAATCTGCAGTCCCCTGGGCAGCTATGCAAAAACTTCCTTTCTCAATTCTGAAGGCATAACAGCTGCAGAAGGTGCGCGTTGCGTGATCCTCAGTGTCCCGCCCATCTCAACGGGAACGAGGGGGATAAGAGAGTGTAACACGTCTGTTATTAACGGGCGATAGCTTGGCTCGGGTTGAACACATAACACTGCAACAGCAGCAACCTACACCGAGCCCCAAAACAAATTAAAACCCGCGGTTTCTGTAAGCCAATGCCACAAAGTGCAAAGAACCAGAATTTCTGATCTCGAAAACGTTCAAGCTGTTGACAAACCTGATGTAAGTGCTTTAAATCCATTGCATTTTTTATCACAGGATCCACGATGTTTGGAAGCTTTGATCTATCTGTGAGCTGAGGCATGGCCTGCATCCCGTAAATACTAAACCGTTTAGCAAGTTTAACGAAATAAGTAACGAATGAATTGAATCTTACCCATGTGACGAGAGACTGGCACTGAGATGGTGCTAGTTTCTCGACAGGTCTTCTTCCTAGTAGAAGCTCCAAAAGCACAACACCAAAACCGTAAACATCACTCTTATCGGTTAACTTTCCTGGAAATGATATATAACAAATTCTGTGAGAAAATCAAATGGATTAGATCATAAACTTCAGTAACCAGGTAAAATGACTGGCATTTGGGTTAGAAAATTAAACCAAATAAATTGAGGATTTTAGATCATATACCATCTAAAAGGTATTCCGGTGCTACATAACCTAACGTTCCCGAGAGCTTGATGTTGTTTTTGTTTTGAGCCCCATCTGGTATGGCAAGACCGAAATCTGAAAGCTGAATTGAAGAAAACATCGAGAGGGCGGCCGGGATGTTAGAAGAATCGAAATTTCATTTCCCGCAATTGATAACATTACTACACACTATAGGTTTAACAAATCTTGAATTCAATTAATGCCTTAATTACCTTAGCATTGAAGCTGGCATCTAGAAGAATATTAGAAGATTTCAGATCTCTATGGATAACTGGTGGGTTGCAGTGTTCATGCAAATATTCTAATCCCCTAATCAAATAGTTGCAATTTGTTAATACCCAAAATCAAATTATTAACACTAAATACCCACATGGTCTGTCTACTGACTACTGCATTAATTAATAACACCAACTAACCTTGCTATATCGAGTGCAATTTTCATTCTTAGATGCCATGTTAAAGCCGATCCACGAGAAGGTCCTAATCCGATCCCCGGTGATTTCAAGAAAACAAGATAGTTAATTTGTGTTAATTCGTATTCCGATTCCTACATTGCTCGAGATAGCTAAGATTGGTACCGTGCAGATGACTTTCCAAGGATCCGTTTTGCATCAATTCATAGACGATAATCCTTGTATCATCACGAACGCTATATCCCAACAACGAGATTATATTCGGGTGCTGCATTTTACTCAATAGCTCAACCTCAGTCTGCAATATCAAATTGATAGCTTAAAAACCATTGAAATAAATAAATCATCAAACAGAGGTTTCGACCCAAAAAAATGGTACCTCGAATTCTTTTATTGCATCCGGAGTTATACCCTCGAGCTTCTTCACTGCTACATACAAGTTCTCTCCCAGCTTCCCCTTGTATACACACCCGAATCCCCCTTTCCCCAACACATTACTTTCCTCGAAATTATTTGTGCCCGATTCTAGTGCCTTGTAATCCATCAAAGAAACACACCCTTTCCGGGAATTTGACTTCATCGAGTTGTATTTGCGAATATATTGTGATAATGCAAGACCTTTAACAACATCTTCGTAACAAAACCATTCAAAACAAGAAACCTCAGACAAATTAAAGCATCCCAACAATAAACATCATAAACTAGCTAACAATTTTCATAGTGTCTTGTACTCCATCAAAGAAACGCCTTTTTTCCCAAAAATTCTCCTTCCAAGGATTTATACTTATATGGGGTTAGTTCAACGCATTAAACAATTCAACATCTTCAAAATAAAACCAAGAATATCAGAAAGTGGTTTCTACAAAATTAAAATTAAAAGATCCATAAATTCAAGAAAAGAAGTACCTGAGCTATGAACACTGTCCTTGTGAGGTTTGTGAGCTTTCTTCCTATGATAAATCCATAAGCAAAATATGAGAAATATGATTAAACCCAGTACAGTTGAAGCAGCAATGAGTGCTATGATCAATTTCCTTTTGGGTTCCATTTTGTGCCCTTGACTTGACATTTGGACCTCTGGTTATTAAAAGAATCAAGCACAAAAGCAGTCAATATTCATTGTTCAGACAGTCAACTTGGGTAAAAAAAAAAGGCAACCAATCTGGTCTAGACATAAAGGTAAAATGCAGGAGAACTAGTTTTGACTAAAGAGAAAGGCAAAACCAGCCTGGAATTTGGAGAAAAACAAGACCTTTTGAATTTATAGCAAGCTTTTCCTCTTTCTTTCTTTCTTCCTTTCTTTTTATGGCATTCAAGAACATGAATTTTACAAATTGTGATTATGTATAAACATCCTATGACATTATCTTAGTACTGTAAAACACAAGAAACCAATAATTAACATGTCTGTAATAATCATTTAAACACAAAGAAACATGCATATGTATTGACATTGCATTTTTTGGCGGGGAAGCTAAGGGGGTACCTGGAGAAAAGATTGGTTTTGATGCATACAATGGTGTAGACAGGCAGCAGACATGGAGGAAAGAAGGGAGGAAAAAGTGTCAGCAGAGAAGATGATTCTCTTTCATTTCTCTTTATTATTTGCCCTTTTTAATCACAAGAGAGGCCTACTACAATTGTTTTGTAAAGCTTCACTTCCTCTCTAATTATTCTCTACTGCTGCTATTGCTCAGCAATACCCAAAGGGAGAGTTAGAGAGCAGAGATGGGGAAATACCAAAAAAAAAAAAAACATATATATATATATATATATATATATATATATATATATATATATATATATATATAGAATTCTAATCTGGTGAGAATAAATTGTTAGGTGAGGATGTGTGGTTGTTTTGTGGCCTTTGATCTTAGGCAATTCAAGGGTTATTTTATTACGGTGCATTATGACCTGTCCATTTGCACAGTACTATTGTTTGCCGTGTTGCTTGACTTTTTTTTTTTTTTTTGCACAGCATTACTAAGGAGGGTATTAACGTATTTATGTTATTTTATTTATTGCACGCACCGGGAGCGTAGGGGATTGACGTTTCCTAAATTCTCTCTGGCGACCCCGTTATAGTTCTACGATGGCGTCGTGGCTTCTCCCCATCGTGAGTTTGATTTCACCATCTGTTATTGACGTGCAGAGGGGTTCTGATCTCGGATGGCGACTGGTTTGTTGTTCTTTTCGTTTACTTAATCCTTTTTTTTTTCTGGGGATTTCTTTTTGGTGCACAGCTACGATGTACGGCGAGCTATCCGTTTTGGCCAGTTTTTTGGAGATTTCTTTAGCTGGTGGTGCATGTAATTTTGTAAATCTATGTCCGATTCTGTACGTTCGCGGGGGGGGGGGGGGGGGGGGGGGGGGGGTTGGTTGGACAGTCGGAAATAAGTGGTGGGGATTTTTTTTTAACTGGATATGAATACGCGATTGCGCGTAGCTTCTTGGTGGGGAGCTGGGTGACAGATGAGTTTAAATGGATCACGGTCGTGTATGAGTGTCTAAGTGTCGCCGATCATTCCTTTAGTTTTCCTAATTGTTTATTTCGCGTCGTCTGTTTGCTAAGGAGAACCAATGAACCCAGTTTTTTTTTTTTTTTTTTTTTTTTTTTTTACACAGTCGGCTAAACAATTAGGAGATCATTAATATGTTTGTATGTAATTGCTCTCAATAAGTGAGGTATTTTCTTTTTCCTAGTTTGAAATAACCAATCTGGGACCACAAAAAACCTATAGAATTAGAGTTGGATTTAAAATTCTTTCCTAGCTTGATATATGATTATATGAGAATACAAGAGTTCTAATTGTTTCTAGCAGTGAGTCTTGCCAAGTGTCCAAATCTGACATGAATAACCAGTGGACCAACACATGTGTGTGGATAGTGTGTTGGTTTGTATTTATCCAAAATTTGTGGGGTTTTTTCCCAATTACTGTGCAGATATATGTACACTCATTTGTTTTTCTTACTAAAAGTTTGGTGAATGTCACTCATATCTTATTCCATGGTGTTTGTGATTGGTGATGCATTTGGGGCAGTACGAATTTTTTAAATGTGGATTAATTTTTTAGGATGTGTAGTTGTTGTGTACAGAGTATGGGGTGTGTGAGTTTTTTCGGTGTGCAAACATGTTCTCTGTTGACATGTAACCCCTCCCATTTCTCTGTTTTTAGCTGTGCAAACATGTTCTCTGTTGACGCAGTGCACTATGCATGTTGGGGGGGGGGGGGGGGGAATTGTACATGCTTTCTACTCGAAACCCCTCCCACTGCTCTTTAAAGTTAGATGGTACATGTATGTATGACAGTAGCATGGTGGAAAGCTTCCTATATTATATTTACATACAATGTTTAACCAAAACCGTGCATTTGAATCTTTAGCGCCAAATCTAAACTGTGCATTTGAATCTTTTGTTCTTTTATGGTGATGGTTCAGTGATGCTAAACTGCTACTAATATTTCCAGGTTTTCCATTTTACCTCAACAGCACAGTGTAACTAAAATATAAGTATACTGCCCACGTTGTGTGTTTTCCTTTTAGTTCTCTGCCACTTTTGAATTACTAACCTGTCTTATTTTCATTTTAATTCATTACGTTATGAGTTGGATTTAAAATGTGTTCCCAATCTAGACTTTTAACTGTGCAAACATGTTTACTAGGCAATAACAGTTTTATTTAATCAAATGTGTGGCCAAATCTATTTAATAAAGGATGTGTTGTTTGATTTCCAATTACGTTTAAATTGATTTGTAATATGGTTTTTTTGCCCGGTGTAGATGGTCTTGCTGGTAACATTACTGGTGTGGATGAAGGTTGTCGGCTCGAAATATCTCCTGGGTCATCAAAGTATTGGTGGCCTCAATGTGATGATGGGAGTAAGCCAGTCATAGGCCAGACTTTTAGAACTCTTACGGAGGGTGAGGAATTCTATATAAAGTATGCTGCTCTGGTGGGGTTTGATGTTAGGCTTGGTTCTTTGAAGAAGGATAGGGGAGGGGTGGTGGTTTTGAGACATTTACTTTGTAATCGCGAGGGATATAAGTCTGTCTCGGGTGGCACACCCAATGGAGGGGGGGGGGGGGGGCAGTGGGTGACGATGATAGTCAACCTGTGCCTGTCAAGCGTCGTAGGGTTTCAAATAGGGTGGGGTGTAAGGCTAGGATCGTTTTCAAAAATGACCAGACCGGGGGGTATTGGGTGTTCTCATTTGTGGAGAAGCACACTCATGTGTTGTGTACTCCTATGTCTAGGCAGTTCATGAAAGTGAACCGCAAACTTGATTTTGGACATCAGGCGTTCATGGTTAATTGCGCAAAGGCAAACGTGGGGACAAGCCAGGGTGTTAGGATTTTAAAAGAGTTTGTGGGTGGGTATGAAAATGTTGGGGCAACTAGTGTTGATTTCCAAAACTCAAAACGCGACCTCCGTGCGTATATTGATGGGTGTGATGCGCAATATTTTCTTGATAAGTTGTCCAGAAAAAATGACAAGTGTGCCGCGTTTTATTATAAGCATGACATTGATGAGAACGACCAATTACGACGTGTGTTCTGGGCTGATCCGGTAGCTCGTCGCAACCACACGGTGTTTGGTGACATTGTGTCCTTCGATGCAACGTACTCAACAAATAGGTACGTTTGGAAGTATTTTTTAAAATGTTTTTGTATCAGGAAAACAAAAATAAACATACTGTTTTTGATGCTGGGAAGGTTTAAAACTGCTACCCAGTTTAACATAATTTTATAGTAGTGTAAACTATTAGATCATAATAGGAACGACTACGAAGAAGTGTATATTTTCATAATTTATTTTAAACACTCTGCTAAATATAGATGTTCAGTAAAGTTTCTTCTTATATTTGGTCCCAATAGAATAGGTAATTCATTTCTACACTAATTATATTCGGTAATTGTAATCCACAGAATCGCACCGCGTATATGTTCGACCAGGATGTCAACACCCCATTAATTCATCACCATATGCACCCCCCCACAACACTTTTGCTTTCAAGGGTCCACACCCCGCACACACCACCACCTCGTGATAGCATGAACCTCTTACTAACTGCGTTCTAATGATCCAGGTACAAAATGGTTTTCGTTCCCTTCACAGGTGTGGATAACCACAAACGATGCGTTACTTTTGGCGCCGCACTGATCACCAAGGAAGACGTCGCGTCATATGTATGGGTGCTCGAGTGTTACAAGGGGGCAATGGGAGATGCTCCATCATGTTTTGTCACAGACCAGGACCCGGCTATGAGGATTGCTCTAGAACAAGTTTACCCAGGTAGTCGGCACCGTTTTTGCATGTGGCATATTATGATGAAGGTAGGTGAAAAGGTTGGCCCGGAGTTGGCTAAGGACACTGTCTTCCGGGGCAGGCTTAATGATGTGGTTTGGGATGAAATTCAACAGCCCGATGTGTTTGAGACGAGGTGGCAAGCGTTGCTAGGTGAGTATGGCTTGTTAGATCATAATTGGTTCACACAGTTGTGGGAGGCACGACGTTATTGGATCCCCGCGTATTTCAAGGATATGCTACTTTGTGGGCTAGTTAGAACCACGTCCCGATCTGAGGGTGAGAACAGTTTCTTTGGAAGGTATTTAACCCATACAGCCAGTTTGGTAGAGTTTTACAGTCACTTTGAATCTGCAGTAGATGCTCAACGGCAGATCCATACCACGCTTAATGCAGTTTGCGAAGGACATTTTGCTCCGACAAAAACGGACTTGAAAATGGAACGCCATGCGTTGGCCCTGTACACCGTCACAATTTTCCATGAGGTACAAGCAGAAATTTATGCAGGGTGTTATTCGTGTGGGGTAGTGTCCGTAGAACTAGCTGGTGATATCATCAATTACGGCATAAAAGACGGTGACAAACAGCAGCACCAGGTGCACTACAACTCCACCGACAATAGTGCAATGTGCACGTGCTCACTTTTCCAAAGGTTGGGATGGCTGTGCCGCCACATTTTCATAGTCTTCAAAAACAACAACGTAGACAACATCCCATCAAGATACATAGTAGACCGCTGGACACGCAAGGTTTGTTTGCGTGCCGAGTTTCAGATTGATGGCCTTACTATTCACTCAAATGTTAACGACGATGAATCCAAGACTCAGGAGAACAGGATGTGGGCAGAGATCTTTGCATGCGTGGGGTTGGCAATTAACAGCTCAGAACGTGTTGAACGGTTAACCCAAGTGATCCACCAGCTGAAGGATTCTTTCGAAGGGGAAACGAATTGCCCGGTAAACCACAAAAAAAATAATCCCATGATTCAAGCATATTGTGGGTCGGTACCGTCTTTGGCAGTGACAGTCAAGCCGCCAATTGTTGCAAAAAACAAAGGCAGTGGAAAAAGAATCAAGGGGAAAAGGGAAAAAGCCATTGAGCAGTCTTTGAAAGGGGTTAGGAAATGTCACGGGTGTGGCAAATACGGGGGGCACAATAGTCGCACTTGTGAAGTCCTTCGAGCAACACGTATGGGGGTGGGGGTTGAAGGCCTGTGAGCACATCTGATGGTGTTGTTTGTTGAATACTTGCTAGCAATATAATCTATTTTTAAATGGGTCTTAGACACTATCAAAAATCATTGTGCTAGTATTTTAAATTGCAATGTCACAGTGATGCACGCTCTACACTATGAACTTCGGATACTAATGTAATAAATAAACGAGGGTTCTGTACCAGGTCCCTCGTAACCTTCCCTGTTTTTGTACATTAAACTCCATCATTAGGAGGCACGTGGGTATTACTGTGCAACAAGGCTTAAGAATGGGTTTATATTGGATATATTTTATTAGATACATACATTGGGGACGTTAACTTATGATCAGAAGTCACAACGGATGGCAACACATCATGATAAGACTCAAAGAAATTTTAAATACTACTAGATGGTTTAACCTGACCATTGATATAGGTGTGCTAGTGGCTGAGTAGATATGTCCATAGATTTCTTTAGTCTTTGCTAGTACAATCTCGAATTTATTTAGACCTCATAACTCGTGGCCAACAAGATATAGTAGATAATTATTCAACTAAAAGACTATACACTAACTCACTGATCAATGAAGTAACGAATCAGATAACAGTAGTAAATGTCACGGGTGTGGCAAATACGGGGGGCACAATAGTCGCACTTGTGAAGTCCTTCGAGCAACACGTATGGGGGTGGGGGTTGAAGGCCTGTGAGCACATCTGATGGTGTTGTTTGTTGAATACTTGCTAGCAATATAATCTATTTTTAAATGGGTCTTAGACACTATCAAAAATCATTGTGCTAGTATTTTAAATTGCAATGTCACAGTGATGCACGCTCTACACTATGAACTTCGGATACTAATGTAATAAATAAACGAGGGTTCTGTACCAGGTCCCTCGTAACCTTCCCTGTTTTTGTACATTAAACTCCATCATTAGGAGGCACGTGGGTATTACTGTGCAACAAGGCTTAAGAATGGGTTTATATTGGATATATTTTATTAGATACATACATTGGGGACGTTAACTTATGATCAGAAGTCACAACGGATGGCAACACATCATGATAAGACTCAAAGAAATTTTAAATACTACTAGATGGTTTAACCTGACCATTGATATAGGTGTGCTAGTGGCTGAGTAGATATGTCCATAGATTTCTTTAGTCTTTGCTAGTACAATCTCGAATTTATTTAGACCTCATAACTCGTGGCCAACAAGATATAGTAGATAATTATTCAACTAAAAGACTATACACTAACTCACTGATCAATGAAGTAACGAATCAGATAACAGTAGTAAATGTCACGGGTGTGGCAAATACGGGGGGCACAATAGTCGCACTTGTGAAGTCCTTCGAGCAACACGTATGGGGGTGGGGGTTGAAGGCCTGTGAGCACATCTGATGGTGTTGTTTGTTGAATACTTGCTAGCAATATAATCTATTTTTAAATGGGTCTTAGACACTATCAAAAATCATTGTGCTAGTATTTTAAATTGCAATGTCACAGTGATGCACGCTCTACACTATGAACTTCGGATACTAATGTAATAAATAAACGAGGGTTCTGTACCAGGTCCCTCGTAACCTTCCCTGTTTTTGTACATTAAACTCCATCATTAGGAGGCACGTGGGTATTACTGTGCAACAAGGCTTAAGAATGGGTTTATATTGGATATATTTTATTAGATACATACATTGGGGACGTTAACTTATGATCAGAAGTCACAACGGATGGCAACACATCATGATAAGACTCAAAGAAATTTTAAATACTACTAGATGGTTTAACCTGACCATTGATATAGGTGTGCTAGTGGCTGAGTAGATATGTCCATAGATTTCTTTAGTCTTTGCTAGTACAATCTCGAATTTATTTAGACCTCATAACTCGTGGCCAACAAGATATAGTAGATAATTATTCAACTAAAAGACTATACACTAACTCACTGATCAATGAAGTAACGAATCAGATAACAGTAGTGTAGTTATTATATATTGTCTGCAGATGTTTTCAGTTTTTTTGTTAAAAGTTAGACATCGGCATGTGCTAATATCTTTTTGTCGGACACAAAATAACCAAACTAACTAAATAACCCACCGCAAACGGGTGTTATGAACTTTGATTTTCCATATCTGTTTCAATATTTTAAGTTTTTTTTGTGTGTACTGTACAAATGCATGGGATGGCTAATCTAGAGCCATCTGGGTAGTGATTGATAACTCTATTTTCGCTCAAATACATGTAATTATAATTATAAATAAATAAAATAAATAAACGTTTACACGACATTTATGGTATGCGACTATACGCCACTGTGCAATATGCAGATGCCTAAAAGACTATACACTAACTCACTGATCAATGAAGTAACGAATCAGCTAACTGTAGTGTAGTTATTATATATTGTCTGGAGATGTTTTCTGTTTTTTTGTTAGAAGTTAGACATCGGCATGTGCTAATATCTTTTTGTGGGACACAAAATTACCAAACTAACTAAATAACCCACCCCAAACGGGTGTTATGAACTTTTATTTTCCATATCTGTTTCAATTTTTTAAGTTTTTTTGTGTGTACTGTACAAATGCATGGGATGACTAATCTAGAGCTATTTGGGTAGTGATTGATAACTCTATTTTAGCTCAAATAAATGTAATTATAATTATAAATAAATAAAATACATAAATGTTTACACGACATTTATTGTATGCGACTATACGGCACTGTGCAATACGCAGATGCCTAACTGTATTGGGTTACTGTGCAATACTCAGATGCCTAACTGTACTGCAGTGCAACCAGTTGCACAACCCACCAACTGAATTTCCCAAAAACATAACCATTATTACAAACATGCAATTGTAGAGTCTTTAATTAAACACTAAAAAAATATGGCAGCACAGTGCAGATTGCGTGGTGATGCCTAGGCAACATGTGTGCAACAGTAAGAAGATAACAACACACTCAATAAATCAATATAAAAAAAAATTATTATGCAGCAGAACAGCATTATTAAGCCAGAAAAATGTTTAGCCATTTATTATGCAGAGGTCACGCACTTCGCATATCATTGCTGCCCGTAGTCACCGCCATCCTAAGATCATTGACGCCAAGCTTTTTTCTGGCGAATATATGTTTTGGTATGTACAGCAATTGCTTCCCGGTGCCCATTGATTTCAGACAACAGTATGTCGTGCAAGTATCTCTGCCGCAGCTTCCGGACCTCATTCCGGTCCCCCTTCTGCAAGCCACAGTCCCAATCCTTACACTTCTCGCCCATGTACGCTTCCATGTGTCTCATTGTGTAAATCCCGCTATCTTCTTTGTGTTTACAATCTCGCCACGGCATCTGCATCCTTATAGCCTTCATGTTGTCAACAAAAGCTGACCGTAAACCCTGCCCTTTGTTATGAAGATATGCTGATAGCATATCGAGCTTGCGGGGGGGGGGGGGGGGGGGGGATAACAGAACATGAGGTTAGTATAGTGATTTGAATAAAGCACATAATATCTAGCCACACGGTCAAGAAATCCGTAACAAATTAAAATACCAATGGAAAACAAAATATTTAAATCCTAAACGTAGTAACAGTAAATTGAAATCCAGCAATGAAGTCACGAGAACACAGCAAGTAACGCATTATTTATAGCATTGGGACAGTTCAATGATTAAAATGTAGATTAAATTTTTAGGATGTGTAGTACTTTTGTGGGACAGAGTATTTATGCTGTGCAAAAAATATCCTTTATGCTTATCTAGGTAAAAATCAATCAGCAATTAACGGCGACATACCAACTTTCGACTCAATACACTTACCAATTCTTGTGGAATGGAGCCATATCTATCCTCGTTTTTACCAGCTACCGGGGAGTTGTCAATGATTTCAAACCTGCGCTTCCGCATGTTGACACACAGCACGTAATAGTGAGCAGCTTTCAGAATGGGGAAGAAAAACTGCACTCAAACATTTGTATACGTCAAACGCAGCTGATTTGTCACTATCTTGTTAAATGCAAACAAAGGATGGGTTAGTAAATGGTTACTTTACCAGGTCTACATCGGCACAGCTAATATGGGGTGCACGCTCAAAAACCTTATCTAGCCGCTCTGTAAACCAAACCAAGCGTACATCCCATCCACCCGTGGAGAAAATAACACTACTCAACTGTTGAATGTTGTGGCGGGGGGACAAAGACACATAGGTAGTTAGGTAATAGGAATAATGCTTTAAGTACAGGGACATATATCACATACCAAAGTGTATATCGTAACGAACACTCTCCTAGGTTCTTCGGGCTTTCTACCCTTCTCCAAATCATTCAACACGCACGTCCAACATTCCACCACTGGCATACGTACGGCACTGTCGAACTGTAAAGACATGAAGTCTTTCACCTGCCCATGCCTCCCGTTAAATGAGAAAACCTCTTCGGTGCTGCATAGTGTTTTTAAAAACACCCATAAAAACCGGTGTTCAATGAGTTAGATGTGTTACATATGTAGAGAGTATAACAACGCAAACGGTACTGACTAGTTCCGGTCTTGATGGTGAAAGAACCATTGCCACAGAGAGAACCGATCGGGATCGGGAATCGCAGCAATCGCTATATGCCCCTCAGGAAAACTATTCAATAAGTTTAGACCCCCCACAGGCTCAGCACCTGACCTTGCATCGCAGCGCAATTCCTTCAAAGGCGCCCTTGGTCCCGACCCACCAATACTAGCAGGTAATGCATCTCTGTTTGTGTGTTTGCCCTGTGATATGTCAACACCGAAATCAAGTCAAATCAATAATCAATCACACAAACGGATATTAAAACCACGTATTAGTACCTGCACTGCTGGCCCAATATTTTCCGAACAAAACACACGCCCCACATGCGGTAGAGGGGTTACAACGGTACGGTCCTGCTTTGTTTGGAGTGCTAATCAATTCACGGCAACCACCACATGCATGATGCATACTACAAAACTAATGGACTAACCTCAGTGGCGCTTGAACCGACTGCATCGCCGACAATACCTCTCAATACGCACCCACCAGTTGATACATCTAAACTGCCCCCATTATGCCCATCTGTGCAGTGCGGGCGCTTCGGGGATAAGACTCCAGTTTGTGGACCCCCAAAGTGTTGTGTCAAGCCTAGACTAAAGCTAGGTGGATCGAACCCCTCCTCAGTATTCTTGTGTCCAACCTCAATCTCGTCAGCTACAGCGATAGTCTCCACCCAGAATGCTTCATCGTCTTGCGTGCCAGTCTGTGCACTCAGTGTCGGTTGGCTTCGTCTCATGCCCAACAACTTCCCGGCAGCATCAAGAGCTTCTTTAAATCGTGGGTTGTCGAACGTCTCATCCGGGGCTTCCTTCGCCATCTCAATCAAATCTTCTACGGTGGAAGCTATGAGTTTTGATTTGGCAGCAATTACCTCAGCAAACCCCTACATTGATTGAAGCAATAAATATTCATAATACACAGACGCCAACAAGGGGGGCAGGTGCAAGGTTAGCATTACTAAGGGAATTTGTAGGACAATAATGAGTAACAACCCCCCCCCCGCCCCCCCCCCCCCCAAATATAAACCATACGCTCTACGGACAGAAATAGCAACCACCGTATGACGACACACCACAATAAACCGGATGTTAGCTCCACCACAGTTATAACAACTAAAAATAAAGACCTGTTTTGTACTGCCGCCCAAAGCCCCATGCTCTCCTACTCCGGTAACATCCCGCAACGGTTCCATCCTTGCTCCAATCCCAAATCCCCCCGCTCGAATCTCAGAAAACTCACGCTCCTTCAAAAGCTTTCCAGTCCATCCAATTAAGGCAGGGATGCTCCTAGTAATTACTCGAGGGCCTAACGCTACTCTGTCCACATAGAACAACTGCAAAATCAAAACAAACGAAAAAGTTATATACGACGAATCACCTTTATATACCTGCTCATTTTAAGCCTGTTAATTAAACAAGAGCACTGGAAAAAAAAAAAATCAGACCACTAGGAATAGGAGTGGCCCCGTAAAACGTTGCATCTTGTCATCCGCCCAATCACGGTGGGTTTTGACTAACCGTTTAAGCAAGTACCCACACCAATCTAAGTCCCTTATCTGGTCCACATCTTCAAGCTGGTGTAAAAACTGCTGGTTGGCGTAGCCATTCTGGGTGCTTTCAATCATAACAGTAGCAACAGCCACGGAGAAGTGGCGCTTAAACCACTCACCACCATCCTCGCAAGGTAACATCACCTCACATACCTTCCTCAAGGTTATTGTGTTGTCTCGCTTTCCAACTTTCGCCCGCCAATCCCTCAATTCCGGCCCCACTTTCTGACTAGGCCGACATACTATCTCTGTTGACCCTAATGGGAGCCCCAGAACAGCACCAACATCTTCTCTGGTAATTTGTAGAGCTATCTCGCGCTGGACATCTAGTGTGAGATTAGTAGGGTTGAACACACTAACCAGCCAACATCCTAGCCGCAATGGGATCTCATTAACCTCTAGTCTCAAGATACCGCCCATTCCCATGTCGGTAACAGCCTGTCTTTGTTGTGTAGTGAATTCGGCCATAGCACGGATAAGGTCCTTGGGTGTGCATCGGGTGTTAAATGACGGGAACTTCGTTGCTTCTGACCGGAAAAGTTCAGGGACATGAGTGTTTTCTGTCGTGCCCCCGCCCGGTCGGCTGCCTTCAACATCAGAAATCCTGGTTATCTTCCCTACACTACGCCCAGAGCGAGTAACGATGCACTCATCACCCGCTACACCGTCGCGCAATCGTTTGGTCCCTACAATAAAGTGGCGAGAACGCAGACACGTGAACACGTGTAACCGTCAGCAGTAAAATCAACAACGCTAGACACAAAAAAAATATGATGTGTGTGTGTGTGGTGGGTAAGCACAGAAATGTGGCCTACAGTCATGACTTCGACACTGGTTACACCACATAACCACGAGTGCACACCGAAAAACTCACACACCCCATACTCTGTACACAACAACTACACATCCTAAAAAATTAATCCACATTTAAAAAATTCGTACTGCCCCAAATGCATCACCAATCACAAACACCATGGAATAAGATATGAGTGACATTCACCAAACTTTTAGTAAGAAAAACAAATGAGTGTACATATATCTGCACAGTAATTGGGAAAATACCCCACAAATTTTGGATAAATACAAACCAGCACACTATCCACACACATGTGTTGGTCCACTGGTTATTCATGTCAGATTTGGACACTTGGCAAGACTCACTGCATGAAACAATTACAACTCTTGTATTCTCATATAATCATATATCAAGCTTGAGACTACTTCTTATGCATCTGATACAAGCATTAGGAATTAGCACCCTCAGCAGGAAGCACACAGTGCCAATCCAATGTGATGGCTGCTCTAATATCTCGTATGAATTTATCTATTGCATATCATAGCATTACTTCTCCAAATTCCTAAACTGGGTTAGCCAACCATATGGTAAACAGGTAAACACATTGTTCAAGATTCCACATCAAAAGCAGACACCCCAAATTTTTGAAAAATACAGATTATCACACTATAACAGTCACCCACCCCAACATTTAAACAAACAGAAAACCCGGGAACTGTAGGGGGGAGGTCAAGCAAACATATATCCATAAACGACAGATCGATGCTTCATAACTTTGTAATATACAAACTTATATCCACTATGGCAACACCACAAGCTACACACCAACCCGGGCACATCTAAATTAATCATGTAACCCCCCCACCAAGAATAAATATTAAAGTCAAAAAACCAAGGCCACAACTGCCAATTGGAACCCTACATTCCAAATTCAACCCCCCCTAGAAAGATTTTGTCATAACCACAACACAACTCAGTCGACACCCCACTTGCAGTAATCGTAATTTTTAAGACGCCAATCATTGGTAGGTTAATAGCACTGATGGTTAACAATTGGCACAATTTCACACATAAAAAACCAGGGCAATAACCGTAGCCATTTTCTACGACTCACAAAACATGCCAAAACACGGTAAACGACTAACCTGGGACGGAAGGTCCGCCGGCAATACCGGTGGTCGGAGTACGGTTACGGTTGAGGCCCAACATTGCAGCAAGACGAACACACCACACACCCGGCGAATGTTGTTCCTATACGACGGAATTTGCACACCACACAACAAAAGCACCGGTACACGATCAACGGAATTGGGGGGTTTTTGTACCATCGCGAATGGACTGATATCGGCCGAAAGAGGGGAAATAACGCCCATGGGGAATCTTTTGCACTTAAATGATGATAACTCATTCACACGCAGGATTCAATAAAAACAAAAGATAACATACCGAGAATAACCCGGTGCAAAATATTCACTTCCCCAAATTATTTAAAGAATCCCACAACCTATGGGATTGCACCGGGTCCATCCTGACCGTGCGGTGCTAGTGATCTAACGGTCTCCATCAGACCTCACAACCGCACGTAACACTAAGACTTCACCTGATTAATAACCTATATATATATATATATATATATATATATATATATATATATATATATATATATATATATATATATATATATATATATATATATATATATATAAAATCGATCTTCCTGTGCGAACTACTTTGCGCAACTCGTAATGCCCGATTGTGCAACTGCTAATACCTGATTGTGTAACTTGTAGTGATTGATTGCACACCTAAAAAACTACTATCAAAGTATATTGTAAAGTAATTTTCAAAACTACTTTGTACAAGTTGTAATGTTTGATTGTGCAACTGTGAATTGATACCTAATTGTGCAATAGCTAATACCTAGTTGTGCAGTTCGCACAGAAATATATATATATATATATATATATATATATATATATATATATATATATATATATATATATATATATCCACGACCACTATATGATGGTGGTCCAACCGCATACCTTCGTCGGAAAAATGAGAAAAAGTCGCCTTTTCAGATAATTTTTTGTGGTAGTCGAAAAAGTGGTCAGAAATTCGTTGATTTCCAGTAGTGGTGGATTCGAATTCTTCGAAG